CATAACTACTAGGTTTTGTGATTTTGTGATCCACAAAAGCAAAAAATGAATGCTTTAACAATCACTTCAGCTTTTTATAACATTTTAAAATGTATTATTGACTTTAATCAAATTATTCTAAAATATATATACATGCCCTAGTATACCAAAGACATCTGTAGGTTAGACCTAAAAAAAGAATGCTCTGTTCAACAAGGATTGTCACAACAAGCCTTATATCACACAAACATAAGGATTGCTCATTTGGAAATAATTGCATTGCTGTTGTTAAGATCTTTCTTATTCAGGCCAAAGAAAACTGACTGTATCTCAAGAGTCACCTCAGTGCTTTTTTTAAAGCTTGATCTCAAGTCACATAGGTAGATCCATGGCTCTTGGACCAGGTCATCTCATACCCATCCCAAGCACAAACTGGAAGGCAGAGGATAAAGTCTACAGAACTAACATAAGAACTGTTGCATAATGAAGTAATTCCCATTGCTATTGCCACTTTCATGTGTTTATTTCTGAAAATATAAAATAAATTGCATTTTCAAGTTCCCTACTAATCCCCTTGGGGGACAGATATCTCCTCAGGTAGTGCAGGTAAATCTAACCATTACTGCGAACAGACTCTCTCAAACTTACAGTTTGGAAATCCCTTTCATACTTTGTTTCCATTGGAATTTCATGGACAAAAGCTTTTGTATAACTAGGGGTGAAAAGAATGAAAAAAAATCACCAAATATCGTAAATTAATAGAATTCTTTAGCAATGCTACAGACTGAGGATTCTATTCCTTTCTTTGAAACTATGCAAAACACCTCAGATGTTGTAATAATTATAAAAATTGAGCCTATCAGACAGTCTAAGCCCTTCTTTTGCTCTGACTCTTCTATGCAAGTCTTTGCCCTTTGCAAAATCATCACAAAAACCCTACATGAAGATTCCAGAAGTTCCATCACGATGAAGGTTCCCATACATTTTAATGCTTCAGATGGAAAGCACAGTCCTTGAAACATGACCCTCATCTTCTTCAGCTCTGAGGTAACAGTATGTATTTTTTTCTGATGGACTTACAGTACTCTAAAGATACAGGTCTAAATTCTTTCACCCAGAAGTCCGAGTGCTTTTGGATGAAAAGAGATTAAGACAGCTTAAAGACTTATGAGGATGTTTTAAGAAGTGAGTTAACACAAACAGAATTCAAGCATGTCTGTTATCAGTTCCAGTTCTACGGGAATCTGGTCTCTGCCACTATCTCTATTGTTTGTGTGAGCACATATATTCCATTGCATTTTTCCTATTAAGGGTTCTACCTTCTCTGCTTATCCTCCTGCTTCTTCTCTGGATGGGCTGCATGCATTTCTGTTCCTTTCTTCCACAGGGGTTGCCAACTGCCAATTGGTTCTGCAAACTGTCATAACCAGATTCCTCCTTCTTAAAGAATCCTTGTAGGATTCTTCTGGCATCCTCATGTGGGGATGGGGTGAGCATACAGCAGCAGAAGCTCCAGAGGATGCACAACTGAAGAGATATGCCTATCATAAAGTTTGTGACAATAATGAAATGCAGCCCGAGATTTCTGTACGTAAGCTCTGCTGCATATTTGGTGTGCTCACATCTGCCCATACAATCTTTGCATCATCTTGGAATGAGCTTGAAGTGAGGCCCCACTTGAGTACCGTGCTCATTTTTGGGCACCTCAATACAGAAGGGACACTGAGGTGCTGGAGCAGGTCCAAAGAAGGGCAACAAGGCTTGTGCAGGGCTTGGAGAATATGGCCTACGAGGAGAGACTGAAGGAGCTGGGGCTGTTCAGTCTGGAGAAAAGGAGGCTGAGGGGAGACCTTATTGCTCTCTTCCAATATCTGAGAGGTGCTTACAGCGAGAGCAGGGTTGGTCTCTTCTCACTGGTGACAGGTGACAGGACGAGGGGAAATGGCCTCAAGTTGCACCAGCGGAAGCTTAGGTTGGATATCAGGAAAAAGTTCTCTACAGAAATGGTTGTGAAGCACTGGAATAGGCTCCCCAGGGAGGTGGTTGGACTCAATGATCTTAAAGGCCTTTTCCAACCTGAGCAATTCTATGATTCTATGATGAAACCTTACCCCCAGGACAAAGCAGCTGACAGATATAACTCATTAACAAGGCAACATATTGATTCCCAAAAATGAATTCTCCTTCTGGGTTTGATTCCCTCCTGGGGATGCTGCAACATTTCAGTCAAACCAGAAGCAATACAACTGTCAAGAAGATTCTTCAGGAACCTTAATGATCTAAATTTCAATGGCTATTAGCATTATGTACTTACAAATTTGTAAGTCCTTTTTGCGAGACAATTTTCTAAACTCTCAACAGTAAATTTATAAACCATCCAAAAGTCAAATATCCAGCATCACATCATCTTTCAATTCCTTCAAGGATAATTAAAGAAAGATTCAAAAATTCTGTAAGGTTTATGTCTTGAGTCCAAGAAAGAGGAAAAGGTTGGAAACACCAGAAAAGACGTTCACCCTAAACAAGGAATATTATAAATCCACCTGTTGATGACAACTGGATTATAATGAGTAATCTTTCATGCATTCTGTTTTGTCTGCATAGAAGAAATGTTTCTCCATTAAACTGTTGAACATACTGTAATTTTTAAAAAGAATTTGAAACAAGTATCTGCATTAATATTTCCTTCTAGTATTCAACATTTTCACTCCCTCCTAAATATTAAAGGGGTCGATAATCTGAATATTGTTAGGAAAACCCAACAGCACTTTTGCACATTCAGACTGCTGCCTGCTTAGTATGGAATTGCCAATAAACAAGTTGCTCAGCTTCCATTTCAGCTGCCAGCTCCTCACTTCACAAACAGAATGCAGTCAACTTTAGCTCACATTCAGCTTTTGTTTTGGCTTCCTTTCTAGTTACGCACTATGCAAATATTTAGCAATTTCTTGGAAGAGCTAAAGAAAATTTAATATGACTCTTGATAATTATCTGAGGAAAAGAAAAAATTCATTCAATTAATATCCCTCCTCATTTTCTAACTAATAAATCACAATTCCACAGTGAAATGCAGTGAAGAGATCTTCCGTGAGTCACAATAATTTTTGCTCTGCATAGAGTCTGACAAGAGTATAAGAAAGAAAAGAGGCCTTGTTATTTTTCCCATTCTAACATGAACTGATTTACAATCAAGCCCCAGGAATGCCCAGGTTATGGTGTCACAGGACACTCGCAGTTCACCATCACCACACAGAAGTGTTTTCACCCACTTCCTTCCTTCCTGATCGTGGCTACAACCTCGCACTGCTTATCTGCCCGTTGGTCTCTAACCCGTGAGGCTAATTAATTGCAAAAGATCAGAGGAAGTATCTGAAGAAGAAACATAAACATTTTCTACCACATCGTTTCTATGACGTACAATGTGTAAGATACACAAATTGTTTCTGCTCACAACAGAGATCATTGTGGCCGTAAACGCCCCAGTATTGTGTTTAATTTATTAGTAACACTTCTCTAAGAATCATTTGAGTTTTTCCATACTTCACACATCCATCAGGTATCTACGAGGATGGAAATTTCACACACTCTCTGGCCAATTTGTTCATTTAAACACTGAAAAATTTAAACAGAGAGAATATAAAAGCATTGCACATATTCTATAACTACCACTCCTGAAGGCTGTGCTACATTCTGTATGAAAGAATGAAGAGCAGAACACAAAACGTGTAAAGTATCCATATTCAGAAAAGCAAAAACTGAACAGTGTCAGGACAGGAAATCATAGAATCATAGAATTCATAGATTCATAGATTCATAGAATGGCCTGAGTTGAAAAGGACCACAATGATCATCTAGTTCCAACCCCCCTGCTATGTGCAGGGGCCAACCACCAGACCAGGCTGCCCAGAGCCACATCCAGCCTGGCCTTGAATGCCTCCAGGAATGGGGCATCCACAACCTCCTTGGGTAAACCTCAGGTACTTCTTCAAACAGTGATGCAAAGATATATGACTTCCTTTCAAAAGAGAAATTAGGACAATTTCATCAGCACAAGGAACGTTGCATAGCACAGCTGGGCTTCCAAAGATAAGTTTTGCTCTGATTCCACATTGAATGCTGTGTCTGCTACACAAACTTTACATAAATTTACCTAAGAATTTGATGAAAATCAAATTGCCATGGGAAAAAAAAAAAAGTTTCTACATTAAAATCTTTTATACTGCAGCATCGAGCAGTGGTGATGTCCAGATCAGTTCTCATTTCCAGAATGTCACGACTGACTGAAGTAATTTTTTTTAAATCAAATTCAACGTAAGAATAAATCGCATCCACTAATATTGAACATATTTAGTCTGCAATGTTCAGTAAAATGTTATCATATACAACACAGAGAAGGAAAAAACAAAAAGGAAATAATGCCAACACAGAAGTATGCATGAGCAACATAATTCACCCCTTCTTTCAAGTGACTATTGTATTAATATAATATACATGTAATGCATTTTATATCACACATATAACTACACACATAATACCTGAAGTTACTCATTTCTTGAGAGAAACAAAGAAAGGATAAAGTGAGCTCTTTACAGCCACCCCATAGCAAAGCTCAATTTTTTGTGAATTTCTCTGGATTCTACAATTTATTTATTTTTAATACAGAAAATCCAGTGAAACATCACTTCGGCAAAAGAATGTGCTTGATAGCCTCTGGTACCATAATGCAAAATTATGACTGAAGCAGAGAGAGGAAAAGAGATTTGGGAAGAATATTTAATCTCCCACTGGACAGGATTTAAATTCTCTATTGTTCTTTACAGATCAGTACTGTTACTTTTCTTTAGAAAAAGTGTAACATAGAAATGCAAGTTATATATTGCCCAGCCCTCTTCACTTACCTGAAGGCAATGCAACTCCCCCCAGGAATTTATAAAGCATTACATTACTAGAATTTTATGCCATATGTGTAAAGAAAAAAACTACAAAGAAATAAAAGAAAAAATATATATATATAGCCTTACTTCTCCATGTCTTAATGGTGTGATTGCTCCTCTTGCTACTGCCATTCGGAACAACGTTTCTGTGGCCTGCATCAACAAACACAGACAAATCAGTTATTTTTAAGAAAGGTCATTCATCTCATGAAGATTTATTTCAACTTATATCATGAACATTTCATATTTTATTGAATTTTTTAAAGTGTCAGCTACTTTCACCATCCATTTTACAATTGAATTTTACAAAAGCATGAAACTATTTTAAATATGACTGGTTAATATGGCCTTAAAAGAGCAAACAAACACGAGTAGAATGGAATTCTTCCTTAAAATTCCTGCAACACTCTTAACTTCAATAATTAGGCATCAGGAAACATAACACAGCTCATATGTAAAAGGCACAGAACACAACTTGGAGGAAATCTTTAGATAGGTCAGGCTGTAGCTAGGTTGCATACTTGTCTATGTCAGTTATCCCATCCTTTGCTTAGTCTGCTGGGACAAGGAACACAGATTTCTGACAGCAGACAACTCGTAATTCATGCTGTAACACAGAAACAAAACACATAGATTCTGCATCACACTTCTTTCTTGTAAAAAGCAGAACCAAGCAACACTACTGAAACAAGCAGAGAAAGTTTCCCTAAATGACCGGTATTTCTGTTGATTTCCTAACTTTGGGTTTAAACACAAGTATGCCAAATTGCCATGTTGTTGTATTTACAAGATGGTTAGAAAAAGTAGTGAAAAAATTCACTGGTTACATAAAAACATGGATTGGCACATCAGTATACACAAGAATAGATTTGTTTCAAAGACCTGCTTCCAAAGTAAGTAGGGAAGCGAGTCTCAATTTCAGCTGCAATCATACATGCTTTTAATATCTGTTCCTAATTAAAAAAATTACTCAAACATTCAAAACTCTATGTTAAAACATAATTACCAGGCTGCTTGAAAAAGGGGCTAGAAAGTTAGTAAAAGTAGTTTATAGAGCCTGTCTTCCCGAATAGCAATTTAAGAAGTAAGCAGCTCAGTGCTTACATGACTGCAAAATTTGTGGGGTTCATGCTGCAGTACTTAAGACAGCTGACCTCAGCAAATGTAGTACCAAAGACATCTACTGACATTAATTCTTCAGTATTTCTAGATGTGAACTAGATGATATTTACCCTTCCCTAAATAACTGCCTGAAGAAAAGAATCCTATAAAAGAGTTTTTATTTGCCTTGTTTCACACCAGTGTCTGTAGATGAATGTGTGTGCTCCAGAACCCCAACTGCAGAATGCATTTCTTCATTGACACCACCATAACACAGGGCAGTGCCTGAGTGCAGCTCTCCTTCCCAAGCTTTCATCCTTCCAGATGTAAAGTGAACCTCAAGCCACCTTTTGTCCTTCCCCAAATTGGTTTCTTTCATCAGCTCTTCCCACCAACATTTTCAAGCATGTTTCAAGTGAATTGAGTATTCTGTCAATACTGCTGAGCTTCTTTTGTTTCTTTTGAAAACCACTGGTGTGTGTGACTTTCTTTTCACAATCCCTAGTAAAAGATCTCTCTTAATACGCTTGTACATGCACAGTTAATACCAGATGTCAAAACCATTCAGAAACAAGGAAAATTCACAGCAACAGCAAATCTAGCATGAGAGAGATCTCCCCCTATGGGCACTGCTCCTTGTGCTGAACCCCACTGAGCAGATTAGGACTGCAGTGATAGTTGTTGTCTACCCCAACAGCACGAGGGGATGAGGCCACCCATAGCTGTTGATTCCTGGACAATAACAAAGCTGGAGACAGAGATCTTTGGGTTTTAGGTATGCAGATTCCAAGAGAAATTTTAAAGGAGTTGAAACTTTCAAAGGGATAATGATTAGAATCATAGAAGCATTGAATGGCTTGAGTCGGAAGGGACCTCAAAGATCATGACCTCATTGCAGCCTTCCAGTACCTAAAGGGAACCTACAAACAGGAGGGGAGTCAACTCTTAACAAGAGCAGATAATGGCACGATGAGGGGAAATGGTTTTAAGATGAAGGAAGGAAGATGTAGGTTGGATATCAGTGGGAAGTTCTTTACCAAGAGAGTGGTGAGGTGCTGGAACAGCTGCCCAGAGAGGTAGTGGATGCCCCGTCCCTGGAGGTGTTCAAGGCCAGGTTGGATGGGGCCCTGGGCAGCCTGGTCTACTATTAGATATGGAGGTTGGCGGGTCTGCTCGTGGCAGTGGGACTGCAGCTTGATGATCCTTGAGGACCCTTCCAACCCAAGCCATTCTATGATTTTATGATCATCTACTTACAAAACCCTGCCACAGGCAGAGTTGCCAGCCACTAGCCATAGACCCAAATGTGACATCACACAAACTCATAATAATGTTGATCAGGCTAGCAAAAAATTTTCAGTCTTAAACCATGATCTTATCCATAACATTTCCATTTTGAACCAACTCCCTCACTCCCTTCAATATCCAGCTCCCTTCTCTCTGACCTGCAAATACAGGCAAGAACAAAACCCATGGAATGTTCTAGTCTGGCAGAGATCACCAAGGCCACCTGATTCCTCAAGGGCTGCCCATGCACTGACCACCTCTTAGGATGGAGGTCCTGCAGCAACCTCTGAACGTGGAGGAATAAGCACGGGGATACAGAAGGAAAAAGATTTGGACAAGAGCTTAGAACAAGTGATGGAAAATCACAGAATCACTGGGATTGGAAGGGATCTCTGAAGATCATCAATCTAAAGCAGATTCCCTACAGTATGTTGCACAGGAAAGCATCCAAGCAGGTTTTGAATATCTCCAGAGAGACTCCACAACCTCTCTGGGCAGCCTGCTCCAGTGCTCTGTCAGCCTCACAGTAAAGAAGTTCTTCCACACGTTTGCTTGAACTTCCTGTGTTGCAGTCAAACTTCCTGTTCTGCAGTTAACTTCTTGTGCTGCAGCTGACAGTAAAAGGATCTTTACAAGACATTATATCATTGTTGGCTACAAATCCAGTTCATGGAACGCTTCTTGTCTGGTATATCCTTAAGTTCTTTATTTCAAATCTACCAAAGATTTTAGTACAACAGCCAACATTTCAAACTGCATGGAATTCTGATACAACTTGTTTCAGTTTTGAAGTTCAAACCCACTCAATACAAACTTCAAATGAATGGGTTTTCCATTTCCATATACTATATGCTTTTCTTTTATATATTTAAGATTAACTCTGAAAATAAGCATACAGAGTCCTACTTTTTCAATACAGGCTCTCAAACAAAATAGTTTCTCGGATTACTTCAGTAGTAGATTTCTACCAGAAAAATTCAGCATACTTTTAGGCATCAAGTCAAAACTGCCCTTCTGTTCCCACAGAACAGTTGGTTCAGGACGTGTAACTGCAACTGTGAGATACAACTGACTGGAGATATTTATCATCATGCCAGGATAACTAATGAAAAAGACAAAACTGTCCATTTAAGAAACAACAATATTGTTCTCAACTAGACAGTTGACTCAGAATTTAGATCAATTTCAACTGCCTGCATCTCTGTTAGCAATAAGTCTTTCATTATAATCAAATTCTTATGATGTAAAAACTTAAGGTTTATTTTCATTCAGTTTGCTGGGAATGAGCTCTAAATAAGAATCATTATGGACTGAGGCAGTGACTTTACATACTACTCTTTAGAGGTACAAACCAGAGGTCCATAAGAAAAAAAATCATCAACAGATGGTTTTAATAATCTCAGTGTGAAATAATGTGTTCCCAAACTGATAGCAACTGAATCCTAAAACTGTACTGTAAGGAATGCATATTGTGTCATAGTGTATGTGAGGTGAAATAGAAGACCAAAGAATGTATCTGACAAATCTGTTACGTAAGTTCTAATGTCACCTGTTGACAAAGATGACCTCAAAGAAAGCAGGAACTTCTGTTCAAGTTTTTTTCAAGTGAGTTACAGAAAAACCACATGTAAGAAACAGAACTGAAGTGGAAAATAATTGTGCATTACTGATGGAAACAGTGGGAGAAACAACGAGAAAAACAGCACTTCAGATTCCAGATGCTTGAATTTCTTAGGTTTTCAAAAAAATAAAATGGTCTCATAATACTCCATCAAAATAGTTTTACCAAAATTAAAATGGCAAAGACAAGCAGTGGAGGGAACTGCTAATGTAAATTAATTTTAGAACTACACACTTTTTAATCACCTGGCATTCCAAAATTCCAGTCTACTTGCATTCCAAAAAAGAAAAAGAAAGAAAATTAGAAAGAAAAGGAAAAATGAGTTATAGCTGAAGATAATGTCCTGAAAGGCACAGATCTTTGGAAGTCATTAAAAGCAATTTATGGATTTAATTGGAATGAAAATGGTGCAATTTGTTATAAGAACAAGAATGGATGGAATGGCACAAAACATTTTTTTCCCTATTAAGTTTGCTGATCTTGGCTTCAGCAGCTGGCTGACAGCTCTGGCCTTTAACATTGGTGTTTGTTCTCAAAAAGCAAGTGATGTTAAAGAAAGGTTCATCCAAATCATCAATAACATTTTTCAACTTGACCACATATCACAAATGAACTGTTGTCACAGCCCTTGTCAGCAAACCATCACAGAGCTTTTAAAATCAAGCACGAGTGTTACAAATAGAGGATTTGATAAGATGCAGAAGCAATAATGAACAGAAAAGCAAACAAGCAGTTTCTCAAATCAGAATCTTTTCCTAATTCTGACCAAAAAATGTTAAATGTGAGACAATCCACTAAATCTAAATGTTCCTCAGATGACAGGTGTGTATTTAACTTAGCAATGAGCTTATTTATTGTTGGGCTGGTCAATGAAATTACCACAGTACCAGCAATGTTCTTTCCTCTCAGTCATGAGCTGATCAAATCACTTCTTACCTTTATCTGCCTACAGATGACTTAAGTACAAACACAAAAAAGCAAACTAAACAATTTAATTCCTACAATAAAACACATTTTACAAATATCTTGACAGCTTTCCATCTGTTTTCTGAAACTTCTCTATTTTTTTTTCATTGTCAGCTTTTACCATGTGCACACTCAATGCAGCATTCTTTCTCAATACCGTACCTTCCTTCCCCTTCCA